GTGAACCCCAGAGGGCCATGCCTGGCCAAAGTGGGGCCTGGGAGCCTGGTCTGATGTGCAACCTTCATCCTGAGCTACTCACTCAACCTTTATGAAACTCTGCCTCTCAGGCTATTCCTAGCAATGTAATTCTGTCATGTTAACTAGTTGCCATTGCTTCTGCTTACCTTTCACACTAAGAACATTCAGGAAAGCATTTTTTTGGTTATTAATAGTCATGATTCTCATATGCATAGTTAATAAGCACATGTCAAAGTTTTATTAGATTTATTAATGCAGGCAGGAGCAATTCCATCTGAATCTGAGAACCCTGACTTGCATAGTCAGTGGCCAAAAGAGTGATGAATTAAGGGTAAATCAGATATAGTATTGATTAATTTCCTATAAGACAACAAAGCCCTAATCTGAGGGTTTAGCACCTGTATTGGATCAAAAAAATGTTTCTTTTCAGTTCAGTTCAACTTATCCTCTAACTCTTCTGAGATGTAAAATGCATGCGATCTAATCAATTGTGGATGGTAAGTCAAAGAAAATGACAGAACAAGTCAGAACTTGTTAGAAAGCACCTTAGTGTGGCATTAAAGTGCCAGGCACTCACCCTATTACTTCATCCCCAAATTTTACATAATTTTATTTAGCAGTTTCCTTCTTTTCTTACAAATCTGCTCTCTCAAGACACTGTTATAGGGATGCCCCATTAGAAGAGTCTGGGGATATAGTTCAGTTGCTAGTTCTAGTGGTTTGAATAAGAATGGCCTCCATACGCTCATCTGTCTGAATACTTAGCTTCCAGTTGGTGGAACTGTTTGGAAAGAATTAGAAGGTGTGACTTTGTTGGAGGAGATGTGTCAGTTGTACTGGGCTTTGAGGTCTCAAAAGACATATGCATTCCCAGTTGACTCTACTTCCTTTTTGCTTGCGAGATGTGAGCTCTCAAATTTTACTGCCACCATACTTTGCTTGGTCATCATGGACTCTAACCCCTGGGAACCCTAAGCCAAATTAAATGCTTTATTCTATAAGTTGTCTTGGTCATGGTGTTTTATCACAACAATAGAAAAGCAGTAAGACAGTAGTACTGACCCAGCACACACCAAGCCCTGGATCTGACTCCCAGCACCCCATAAACTGGGCATGGAGGCACATGGCTATACCCGAGCACTTTAGAGGTAGAAGAGGGCAAGGCCAGCCTAGACTACATTAAAGTCATGTCTCAAAAAATTTATAGAGACTGAAGTGAGATGGTTGTTCTTCTAGAGAACCCAGGTTTGGTTCCCAAATCATAATTCCAGTTCTAAGAGACTCCTCTACTGGCCTCCACAGACACCAAGCACATAAGTAATACACAGCTACATATGCAGGCAAAACAACTATATACATTAAAAAACTTATATACATAAAGAGATGGATGAATTGGATGATTGGATGGATGGATGGATGGAGAATGGATGGACAGATAAATCCCACATACAGACAGTCCATTACAATTGAGGCATATCCATCAGGTTTCCCTTGAATCTCCTGATGGACTTCATATATTGCCCAATTTTTCCTGTCAATAGTCATATGCTAGATCACACATGTAGCACATTTTTGGACTCTACAGACCAAAGAATCTTACATTTGAGTGTTTACCAAATCCTCTGGGGGTACTTTGATTCCCAGCATTAAAATACAGTTCGGTGTTTTTATAACAATTATCTCCCAGTGAGTATAGGTCTTGCCTTCTCTAATCTCTAGACCCGTGGTTTACAACCTGTGGGTCACATATCAGACCCCTTTCACAGGGATCAAATATCAGCTATCCTTTATATAAGATATTTATATTACAGCTCATAACAGTAGCAAGATTACAGTTATGAAGTAGCAATGAAAATATTTTATGATTGGGGGTCACCACAATATGAGGAACTGTATTAAAGGGTTGCAGCATTAGGAAGATTGAGAACCACTGCTCTAGAGCAAATGTTCTCCCATTTCTGATTCTGTCCATTCTTGATTCACTTCCCAGGTTTATTCATGAGGATTTACAATATGGGGTAAAGGATTTACAAACACACACGTTAATACTTTGTCCTTCCTCAACTCCCTCCCCGACAGGAGGGACCAGAACTAAGACACCTCCTCGTCTTCCTAGAGATTTTTTTAAATCCTGTATCGATACAATTGAGAAGGATTAAAGTAAGATGTTCAGAAGTAACAGAGCCATGACTGGGGGTTGAAAAGGGAGACAGAAGCATCCTGAAACTGCACCTCTAGAGTAGACACAGCCCACATGCCACACACCATATGTCCAGGGCTGGGAGCTGTAGAAGGCAGGTCTTTGCAACACAGTGCAGTCCGAGGAACACCTCTCCATTTTGCAGGGTAATGGGAAGGGAGCCACCTCTGAGTATGGCCACTATTATGGAGCCAGGCAGCTACCGCCCACATGGAAACAACCTGAACTCAGGACTCCCTCCTTTCTCCAACTGAGCCTGTGGAGATGAGGAGAGCATTCCAGTCATTACCTACAGTTGAACCAGATGGAAGGAATCTTAGAAGAGACCATGACACGGAGAGGAAAAAGGTACAGAAAAGAAACTGAGAGCAAGAACTCTTCCTGCTTTTACCACTGTGATCCTGGGCCAACTGGTCTACCTGCTCCTCATTTTTTTTAATCTCCACAGTGAAAATAATAATTCTGATCAATCACATAAATTCATCATGAACTTGGAGTGAGTTAACATGGATAAGACTTAGGAACAGAACTATTTAACTCCATCCTCTTGACTGGCTCAAACCTAAAAACCTTCAGGATGCAAGTTTGACATCCTTTGGTTTGCAAAAGACAAAACTTCTCAACATCATACATAAACAGGAATCAGTGTTACCCCATTGGTACAGGGGTTTTGATTGTTTTGTCTTCTGTGTTTGTTTCTGTTTGTTTTCTAAGATGTATTTTTATGGAGCTGGAGAGATGAAGCCATGGTTAAGAGCATTGACTGCTCTTCAAGAGGTCCTAGGTTCAGCTCCTATATGGTAGCTCACAACAATCTATAACTCCAGTCCCTGAAAATCTGATGCTCTCTTCTGACCTCTGCAGATAACAGGCATACACATGGTACACATACATACATGCAGGCAAACACTTATATAAACAGAATAAAAATTAATATTTCTTTTAAAAGCTAAATTGAAATTCATTTTTATTATTTTTAATTATGTTTATGGGTGTGTGCATATGAGCCTCTAGAGTCCTTGAAGACCAGGACATGGGACCCTCTGGAGCTGGAGTTGCAGGTGGTTATGAGCTGTCTGATGTGGGTGCTGGCAACAGGAACTCCTGTCTCTAAACCACTGAGTCAGTTCTCCAGCCCCTGGGCTGTGTTTGAACTCTGTTCTTTGGCAGAAGGTTGAGTGCCTCATATCTGGCTGTCTATATTCAGTCTTCTGATGACTCGCATTCCTAACAGATATTCTGTGCAGCTGAATATCTCTCTTAACCTCCTCCATTGCACAGAACACTATTCCATAGACAGCTGTGGTTGTAACTATCTGTTACTCTAACACTTAAGAGTCAGAGGCAAGGAGACCATGAATCCAAAGCCATGCTGAGCTATACAGCAAGTTTCAGGCCAGCCTGGACTACATAAAATCCTGTTTCAAAAAAAGTACACAAAAAACACATTTCAGTGTATTAATAAAATGTTAAAATTCAGATAACCCTGCTAGCCAAAAGTGATCTCAAAGGCCCCCTTTTAAAGGAAGTCTTCCTAGTTTTGTGCTTTAAAAGCTGTTTGCTTCTTCTGTGGCTGAAGATGAGGTGGTGCTGAGCAGTGGGCTAAGATGAAGGGGTGAGCTGGCCCTGGGCCTCAGCGCTGAGAGCATCTCTGATAGAACCAGCACAGGCCATTGGCAGAGCTTCCTAGGCAGGTCTTTTCTGAGTCCCAAAGATAAAGGCTGATTTCCAGCAAATTCCAGCCTCTGTCCCAGACTTCTAAGCACAAAAGATGTCAGTCTCTCCACAAATCTCCTTCAAAAGCTGGATGGAAGAGCTAGTCACCCCAGGAACAGTAGGAAGGTTCTCTTGATCCCATATGAGCTGGGGACCAGAATTCCGGCAGGCACAATTGCAAGGACACGGACACAGACTGCCATCTGCTGACCATGTTGTGCATAGCAGAGGCCACGTCGTCCCTCATTAGCTGCTTCTTCCCCAATCATCCCCTTTTCTCCTTTTCTTTTTTTTTTTTTTTTTTTTTTTTTTTTTTTTTTGGTTTTTCGAGACAGGGTTTCTCTGTGGCTTTGGAGGCTGTCCTGGAACTAGCTCTTGTAGACCAGGCTGGCCTCGAACTCACAGAGATCCGCCTGCCTCTGCCTCCCAAGTGCTGGGATTAAAGGCGTGCGCCACCAACGCCCGGCTTCCTTTTCTCCTTTTCTAATTTGAAAAAAAAAACGCAGGTGTCTCATCCAAGCCCTAGATAAAAGAAGTTGGGGATGATCGGCTTCTATTCTGTATGCATGCTGCCTACAGCCCTGTCTGGTTCCAAATTTCCAGACTCCTCCCCACTTTGCAGACAGGACAATGGAGGCTTTGGAAAATGTGAGTGTGTTATCTACCAATCTTGCAGCACCAGAAAGATAGGGATAAGTTTGAAAAGCACTCCATAAATTTCAGCATCCACTCAACAAATATTCCTGGAGCATTTATTTTCAGTTCTGAAGATGCAACAACAAAGGAATAAGGCCCACTCGCTCATGCTCTCTGCCAGGGTCTCACCAACTTCCATGGCTCAGAAGCACTTGGAAAACTGTCGGAGTTGCTCATTAAATCTGTGTGTTCTGGGATCAAACCCAGAGCCTCACACATGCCAGGCAGGTGTTCTGCCCTGGAGGTACATCCCCAACCTTGTGACCTTATTAAAACACAGGTGAGCCGGGCGTTGGCAGTGCATGCCTTTAATCCCACCACTTGGGAGGCAGAGGCAGGCGAATCTCTGTGAGTTTGAGGCCATCCTGGTCTACAGAGCGAGTTCCAGGACAGCTTCCAAAACAATACAGAGGAACCCTGTTTCAAAAAAAAAAAAAAAAAAAAAACGTGGGTGAGAGAGACCGCACTTCCAGGGTCTCTGAGACCTGGGAATCTGCATTGTCATGAAGTTCTCAGGTGCCATTGGTGCTGCTGACCCAGGAGTTGTATTTTAAAATGATTAGCCAAACTTCGTATGGTGATAGGACAAGCCTGTAATTTCATACTCCGGAGGCAGAGAGTGAAGAATCACCTAAGTTCAAGGCTAGCTTTACCTGTAAAATAGAAAGCTCCAAGCCAGCAAAGTAGACATAATGAGGACCTGTCTATGTACACACAGTGCAATATTTTTCAGCCTTAAGAAGGAGGAAATTGGGAGCTGGAGAAATGGCTCAGCAGTTATGAGCTACAGCTAAAATTCCTCCCCTGAGAGAGACAAATGTCTACCCCTCTTCCAAAGGTCGAATTCCACCAAAGCTCACCCAGAGGGATCAGTGAGTTTCCTAAGCTTGCTTGCTTACAGTAGATGCAGGGTTGTGGCCACGCACGTGGGTAACTGTAAACATCACTGGAAAGGGATTAGGCCATCCTCGTGGGTAACCATAAGGCAGCTCTGGAAAGTCTGTATCCAGCAGAAATGATGGCACCCCCACAGCTGTGCAGGTGGGACCCCTCCCCTTATTCCTTCCCACCCACGTCCTCTAGCCTGAGACCACGGGCAATTAGATGGAAACTGCATACACCTGGTTGGGAGGGGCAGCGGATACTCAGATGAGGGTCCCTTGAGCCTCCCTACACCTTCCTTCTATGAGGGACAGTAAATAATTAACAGGCCCAGCTGTTAATGATCATTTCTCACAGGCCCAGCACAATTCCTGGAGACATGGCAATTCAGGTCAGAGAATAGTCCTGGGCAACCCGAGTGATTACTGCTCTTGCAGAGGACCTGGGTTCAACTCCCAGTACCCACAGAGAGGCTCACAAAGTGCCAAGAAATCTGATGTCCTCTTCTGACCCCTGCAACCATTGTACACATGTGGTCCACATACATATACTCAGGCACAGGCACATAAGTATTAAATAAATGTAGAAGTTTTAAATTTTTTAAGTAGAAGAAAACAGGCTGGCAAGACGGCTTGGTAGGCAAAGGTACTTGCCACCAAGCCGTGATGACCTGAGTTCAATCCTTAGGACTCAAGTTGTAAAAAGAAAAACAACTCTCAGAATCTGTGCTCTGAGCCCCCACCCTCCATGCACACAAGTAGGTAGATGTTAAGATTTTTAAAGAAGGAAGTGGGGTGAAGAGTAGTAAGAAGGGGCAGGAGGAGGCATGGCGGTGGAGTAGGAGGAGGGGAAGAGGGAAAAGATGGCAGAGGAAGGTAGGAGGGGCCAGAGGAAAGCAGGAGGGGGAAGTAGCAGGACATCTGAAACAGCGTGCATGGAACTGGAGACATTTTGCCTGTTGAAGTAAACCAGACACACAGAGACAAAAACTACATGTCCTCACTTCGGCATGGAATCCAAAACATTCAGATGCACAGAAGCAGAGAGCAGCATAGTGGCTACCTAGGCTGGAGAGCGAGGGAATCAGGAAGTGATGGTAAAAAGGCACAAATCTCAGGCAGGGGGATTATTCTTTTTGGTTCTTCTGCCCAGTTTACTGAATAATAGCTGACAAGAGAGTAGGACACATTTCAAAACTGTGGAATGTTCCAAATATTCTCATAACAAAAAGTGTTTAAGGCAGTATTCCCTTTAACTAGCTTCATTATAGCACACTGTATTCCTACGTCCTCATTGCTTTGGGCCCCATCAATTTATACAACTGTAAATTGCCAATTTACAATTTCAAGAGATTCATTAGCTACACTTCTGTTCCACAGTGGGAGCAGCAAAGCAAGCTCAGCACTTGTCAGATAGCAATTAGTGATAAGAAAACAGCAAGCAGTGAGGGAACCCAGGCTGGGAGGGGAGTCCCCTGATTTTTGACAAGACAGAATTTGAGGAGGAGCATGAAGGGAATTGATGTGAGATGCCCTTCTGTATGCTGTGAATATGTGTTGCTTTTATTGGTTAGTGAATAAAACTGTTTTGATCAATGGCCAGGCAAAATATAGCTAGGTGGGAAATCCAGAGTTACAGAGAGAAAGAAGGCAGAGTCAGGGAGATGCTATATAACCGCCAAAGGAGTAATATGCTGGAGCATTACCGGTAAGTCCCAGCCTGGTGGCAATGCACAGGGTAATAGAAATGGGTTAATTTATCAGAAAGATCTAGCCAGGAATATGTCTGAGCCATTGGTCAAACTATTGTAATTGATATTAAGCCTCAGAGTATTATTTCATAAGGGGCTTGTGGTAACTGATGGGAGGGATAGAAAACTTTCAACTACAAGTAGTTGATGAGCAAATCAAAGTTGTGAGGACCAGCTGGGCATTGGCGGCGCACACCTTTAATCCCAGCACTCGGGAGGCAGAGGCAGGCAGATCTCTGTGAGTTCGAGGCCAGCCTGGTCTACAGAGTGAGTTCCAGGTCAGCCTCCAAAACAATACAGAGAAACCCTGTCTTGAAAAAAAAAGTTGTGAGGACCTCAGGTGATGGGATTTCTTTCACAGTGACTGCCTTCTGTGAGTAACTTTCTGAAAGAACCAGAATAACCTTCAGAAATTACGTGGCATCACACCTGCCTACAACTGTCTGCCAAAGCCATTGAGATAACATCCTCAAATTCCCAAGGAAGGGGCACAGCCCCGGACTCTCAATGGGATGTGTGGTGGTTTTAAAGAAAGTGGCCCCCAAAGAGGGTGGCACTATTAGGAGGTGTGCTCTTGTTGAAGTAGGTGTGCTCTTCTTGGAGGAAGTGTGTCACTGTGGTGGTGGGCTCTGAGGACTCATATGCTCAAGCCTGCACAGTGAGTAAACCACTTCCTGTTGCCTGCCTATCCAGATGTAGGACTCTTAACTCTAGCATCATGTGTGCCTGCACGCTGCCATGTCCCACCATGATAACTGACTAATCCTCTGAAACTGTAAGCCAACCCATTAAATGTTTTCCTTTGTAAGAGTTGCTGTGGCCATGGTGTTTCCTCACAGCAATAGAACCCTAACTAATACAGGATGTGTGTCTAAGAATTTGCAGACAATACTTCTACAAAGGAAGTAGAGCCTGTACATATGTCTCAGGAAGAGAGAGAGAGAGAGAGAGAGAGAGAGAGAGAGAGAGAGAGAGAGAGAGAAAGGAAGGGCTAAGGAGGAAGGAAGAAGGGAGGAGAGGGGAAGAGGGAGGGAGGGAGGGAGGAAAGAAGATAGATCTCAAAAATTGAATCTTAGTTCTGTTTGTCCTCATCTCTGCCCTTGGCAATGTTGCTAAACAGTTGGAAGATCTGAGAGCAAAGGTTGGTGTTAATCCGGAAACTGGGACTGGTGGGCACAGACAGCACTGGAATGCCAGCTGCTCAGGAGGCTGAGGGATAATCACAGGCTCGAGGTGTCAGTGAAAAGCAGCTCTCACCTCAAAGGAAGACACAGATGTTTTATTCTAGAGCCAAATATGAGAGATACAGCCAAGAACATATTTGGTTTCTCCAAATACCATGTTCCAATGAGGTAGTGATTTCATGAACTTTTTATCGTAACAAGACAAGGAAAATCATACAATAATACACTACACAAACACATCAATGTGCATACCTCAGGTGGGAGTTTATAGCAAAGTGGAAGGTACTCTGCTATTGTCCTCAGATGCTGTCTGGAAGCAGTCTTGGCCCTGTGGTTGGTGGAACTAGGGGTCTGTTCATACATTCGAGGCTCTACCTAATGGTCACAAAATATGTTAGATCATCAGAGAGAACAATAAACGGGCTAAGATGGATTGGCAGAAATGGTATACAAAAATGTTGTCTTAGAAATCTCTTATGCGCCTCTCTTTGACTATCACACTACTGAAAGAGTGGGTCCCAAGAAAGTAGGTTCCCCAGGGATCTCTGGCTGGGAGGAACAGTGTCTGGGACACGCAGAGGAGAAACTTGTCTCCAGAAGAAAGATTACAACATGTTAGGTGATCTTACCGGAAAGACTTGGAGATGAGGGAATGGTGGACAGGGAGTCACACCTTGGCTGGACTACCTAGTTAAACATCTTTCTTACACTCCAGAGATGACAGGGTGGCAGGATAGTTACTGGGTCCTCTTCCCCATGTGGCCACATTAAATAAATCTCCTTCTTCTGCTTTTCACTGTAGAGAGCAAAGAGCCTTGTCCACACACATGAGCACAGGAGAAGCCAAGAAAGTTAAACACGAAGTTCACCTCTTCACAGCAGTGAGGTTTGAAGCTGCTCTTCCTGGAATCTAGGAATGGTGTCCTTTTACTACCTGGTGATCCCAGCTGCAACACTCAGGAGAGCAGGTCCTGCACCTCGCCAGGGCAACACAAAAGAGCCAACATGTTAGCCCAGGTGTAGGTGACCATGGGAGAGCTGTCCTCATTTCCTATCTGTGGGACCAACCTTATAGCTACCCAGGCCCAGACCCAGAGTTATGACTTGGCCTTCCCTGAGCATGTTACGAGACCTGATCTGCAGACCCAAAGCCAAAGGATCTCCTCAACACACAGTGGAGTGGGATGTTCAGGAAGAGTCCTGGTGGGGGCCTTGAACCGGATCAATGACTCTGCAATGAACACATGCAAGTAGAGATGAATGGACAAAGGAGTGCTCAGCATGACTTGTTGGGTAGCACTGCAGATTCTGTGATGAGATTATTAATTCCTTCCCTTTTTAAATTTTTTCTCATTTTATTTTCTTACTTTTTTTCTCTTGAATTTTGTTTTACTCAGAGTGGGATGCAGGGGCAGAAGGTGGATGTGAAGAGACAGGGAATGAATGGAATCAAGATACATAATGTGGCCAGGCCGTTGGTGGCACACACCTTTAATCCCAACACTCGGGAGGCAGAGGCAGGCAGATCTCTGTGAGTTCAAGACCAGCTTGGTCTACAAAAGCTAGTTTCAGGACAGCCTCCAAAGCCACAGAGAAACCCTGCCCGAAAGACAAAAAAAAATACATAAAGTGAAAACATGTTTAATAAATAAATGTTTTTTAAAAATTTTTTTAAAACTCACCAGTTTCATTTGACATAAAGATAATAGTTATTATGAAGCAACATGGTCTCCGCTTATCTTGCTTTGAATCTTCAATTTAAAAAGAACCACATCACTGAGATCCCCATGAACCATAATATTTACCTCTGAAATCATTGCCTTATCCTTCTGATATGTTTTGGATATAGAATGTCCACACAGGTTCATGTGTTGAAGTCTTATACACCAGCTGGTGTATAAGCATTTGGAGATGCTAAAAAATTAGGATATGAGGGTATGATAGAGAAAGTAGTTCACTGATTGAGTGCCCACAAGATAAATGTTGGTACCTACCCCTTTCCTGCCTCTGCTTTTCCGGTGTCATGATCTGATCAGGGGAGTAATTCTCTTCTCTTCAGCCCTTCTGACATAGTATTCTCAGTTATCATGGCCTAGCAACCATAAAAACTACTGATCTGAATGGAACACACTGAACCCATGAGCCAAAATAAATATTCTTCTTTAAACACACACACACACACACACACACACACACACACAATCTGGTGATCCTTTGCTGTCTGATAAGACAGGCTCTGCCTTATCTCCTAGAATTTGCATTTTTACTTATCCAAGACCTTTTCCCCTAAATCTTGAGCATTGTGTTTAAACCATAAAACCCACTCTTATGAGGGAGATCATTTGTGCTGTACAACAGCCTAAGTGACTTGTATGTTATCTTAGAGCCATGCCAATCCTGACACCCATAGGTGTTATGTTTACCTCAATCAAGCTCCCTAGACCCTAAGTCTTGGGCACTATCTCTGAGTCAATGGTACCCATTCTTGTGAAAGAAGCCAGATGTACTTTGTAAGGAATCTCAACGTAAACATGTCTTAAATTGTTGTGCACTTGGGACTGAGTTAATTGTTATCTAAATATTTTTTCAAAAATAGTGCTGTGCTTAAATATGACTAAAGCAAATGATCTGGGCCAGATTCTAGAAGTCCTGGTCCAGGCCTGATTACAATAAAATCAGGCTGAGCCAAATTCCATTTTTGTCTTTTCATGTACAGTTTTTTCCCTGTCTTCTGAAAAGCCTGCAAGGGACTCACCACATTTCACTATTAATTTGGCTGTTTAATTGGATTGAGGACGAAAGGCTGAACCTGGCTTGTTGGGGTACCACTCCCTAGTCTACATTAAGTTCCACTATAGGAAGATGTCTGTGGAAGTTGCTATACCCACATACTTACACTCTCAAGGGCAAACATATCCACATGCTTTGCAACTGAAATTTACCTCTGCTTTTTAAACTGAAATTTAAACAAATTAAAAACCTGCTCCCTATCAACCAGGCCTTTTCCTGTTTCTTAAACTACTTGAATCACTCACCTGCCTGGACATTCACAAGAACCCTAGATTGTTCAATGAAATGAATTCAAACTCCTTCCATGAATAAATGAACAAGCACTTACAAAGAAGTGATTATTGAAAGGTGAATGAAAAATGAAACAAAAAGGAAGGAAAGAACATGACTGCTCCTAGGTATGGTGGAGGAGAAACTTTATTATGTGGGAGAGCATAGCCAAAGACAGGGGCATCTGAGAGTCCAGAGTGGACTGAGCTGGACCATGTGTGGAGAGGGGACAGAGGAAGGGAGCTGAGGTGCAGCAGCCAGGAGGCCCAAAGAGTAGATGAAAGGACCAGGTAACCAAAATGGTTGGATTACATAGGGAAGGGTAGCTAGAAGAAAAGCAGCCAGCCCCTGGGCTGGAGAAATGAGGACAGGGTGTTGGGTATGCTGGCCAGAAGGGCTCTGTCACAGGCAGGAACTAAAGAACATAGGGAGAACCTAGCAGCTGGGTCCAGGTCCATTCTGATGTGTTAAGTAGGCACCTCAGCCATTTGTCCCAGGTTTGAAACCTAACCAAGGGAAAAACCAGGAGGGGAATCAAGCAACCTCTCAACAGCATGAGACATGTGGGAGAGAGAGTTGCTGTCTACTTACAAACTTGGGATATGTATAGAACGAAAAGGCAGGGGCAGAAGATATAGAAAAGTTAACTAAGGGTAACCAGGGAGTGGTGAGTTAAGAGACTATCAGGGAATTCATAACCATCTCCCCGTGGCCAGCCATTACTGGAGTTTGAAAGTGTGGGAATGGCAGGAATCTAGAAAAACAAGTTACTCTAGTTAATACAAATCACTGTAGTTTTGAGAATTAAAACCATTTAACCAATAGGAGCTTTACAAAATGCTGTGGCCCTTGCCACAATATTGTAGCCTCATTAGCTCTCCCTCAATTTTTTTCTCTCTGCTCCACTTAAGACAAATTTATCCCCCCATACCATACTTTGTTGTGTGTTGTCTTCCAAATTATATTCTCTCAGCTTCCCTCTGCCTTTCTTAATTCTACCTCCCCTTCTGGCCTAAACCGATCATCTAATATTCTTTGTGTCAACCAACTTTTCATTACTGTAACAAGATGCCCAAGATGAGCAACTTCTTAGAAGGAAAGGTTACTATTGCTTCACCATTTCAGAGGCTTCATTCAAGGGTCAGTTGGCTCATGCTTCTTGACCTCTATGGCAGGAAGTGATGGGGAGTGTGTACTGAAGAAATGATGCTCACTTCATGTTGACCAGGAAGCCAAAGAGCAGAAAGAGAAGAAACAGAAGGTGCAATAATGTCATACTCACAGACAACACACACACACACACACACACACACACACACACACACACACACACACACACACACACATACACACACACACACCACCACCACCACCACCACCACCACCACCACCACCACCACCACCACCACCACCACCACCAGGCCTTAACTTCCTTTCCCTGGGCTTTTAAGGGTTCCATCATCTCTAACCATTAACACATGAGATTTCAGGAATCCTTAGCCAAACCTCGTAGTCCTATGCTTCTACATCCACAAGTGCTGGAGTTACAGGTATCTGCCACTACGAGTAGCTGGAGGGCTTTAAATGCACTGCTTGTACCCACTCTGAGTTTCCAGCTCAGTGCATCTGAGTTGAGGCCCAACTAACAAGTTGTGGATGACGCTGAGACTGCTGGTCTGGGTTCTGTGATATAAGGGCTGAAGCTGAGGAAGGAGACAAGCTAGTTAACTTTCCTGGGCATCCGTTTACTTACAATAAAATCACATCAAAGAACTGGTGCACTGCCAGGTGTGGTGACACACATCAGTAATCCTAAAACTTAGAGAATGGAAGGCTACAGGAGTTCAAGGCCATGCCCAGCTGGTTTGTTATTGAGACAGAGTTTGCTATGTAGCTCAAGCTGGCCTTGAACTCTCAGAGCCCCACCTGCTTTTGACTTTTGATAATTAATTTAATTAAATATAATTATATCATTCCTTTTCCTCCAACATTTTCTGTGCCCCCCAAACCCTTTCAAACTGATGGCCTCATTTTAATATATGGATGATGGATGGATATAGGTATGCATGTATATATGCATAAGTATATAAATATAACTTGTCTAGTGTTGCTTCTGTGTATATGGTTTCAGGTCTAACCTCTTGATATTGGATAGCCAATTAGGTGATTCTTTTTTAATTAATGTTTTGGTGAGACTCCAAACAAATGGGTTCCATTGTGACTTTTCATACATATATATCAGTTTACCTTGTTATTTTTCCAAATTGCCTTCCTCTTCTCTCCTTTCTCCCTTGTTGGTCGTACTCTTTCCCCGAGTGGTCTTTCCTGCCCTCGTGTCACCTAGATTCCATGACCCTCTTTTGTTCCCTTAGATCTCTTTCTCCCTTCTCATGGCCCCCCCTTCTTCCATGAGTTGGGTAGTAGACACATAGAAACGTAACATAGAGATAACATATATACATAGGCATGATATTTGACCTTCTGAATCTGGATTATTTCACTTCACAAAATGATCCAGTTCCATTCATTTTCTGGCAAATGTCATAATTTCACTTTTCTTTGCAGCTGAACACAATCCCGTTGTGTGCACATAGCATATTCTCTTTATACATTCACTTGTTACTGGGCCTCCAGGCTGATTCCTCACTGCGGCTACACAGATGTGCCAGCCCCTCCACAGTGTGCTGTCTTAAACCCTTCAAATACACAGCCTGGAGCGGTACTTCGGGGCCATATGGTAGTTCTAGTTTTAGTTGTGGGGGCTTGGGGGAACAATTTTATTTGTAATATTCTCTTATGCTTTGACATTAAAATATAATTACATAATTTTACCCCTTGCCCTTCCTCTCTACAACCCCTCTCATATATCCAACTCTCTCAAATTCATGGCCTCCTTTTCTCTAACTGCTGATACATTCCTAAATATATAAATATAATCTGCTTAATCCACATAGTGTTACTTGTGTGTTTGTTCTCAGGGCTGATCATTGGATACTCAATGGCCATTTGGGAAGCCCTTCCCTGAGGAAGACCATTTTGCCCACTGTCAGAATTCCTTAGTCTGTAGTTGTAGAGTGAAGTCCCTTTCAGGTTGGCATATCTATTTGTCTCATCTTTGTTGAAGTATTCTTTTAGGCAGTCATTTCAGTGAGAGTCCATGGGTATAGCTTCTCTGACATCTCTTTTTTTCCCAACATTTTTTATTTAAATTAGATACATGCTTGCTTCACATGTCGATCCCAGCTCCTTCTCCCACCCATCCTCCCTTGCCCCTCTACCAGCCCCACCCAATCCCCACCCCCTTCCCCAGGGAGGGTGAGGCCTTCCATGGGGGATCTCCAGAGTCTGTCACTTCGTCTGGGACAGGGTCTAGGCCCTCCCCCATGTACCCAGTCTGAGAGAGGTTCCCTCCATATGGAATGGGCTCCCAAAGTTCATTTGTACGCCATGATAAACAATGATCTACCACCCAAGGCCCCAGAGATTGCTGAGGCCTCCTCACTGACACCCCATTCTGGGGGTCTGGATCAGTCCCATGCTGGCCTCTCAAGAATAGCTCATGAGACAGCAGTCCTCTGACATTTCTAGGAGACAAAAATCTCAAACTTCCTGCTCCTCTGGCTCTTTCCACCTCCCCCCTTCCTAGGAATCTGCATAGTGATTACCACAGTGACTGTTCAGTTTACACTCCTACCAGCAGCATGTAAGGCCGTGGTTCTCAACTTCCTAATGCTATGATCCTTTAATACAGTTCCTCACATTGTGGTGACCCCCCCCCAACCATAAACTTCATTCATGACTGTAATTTTACTACTGTTATTTAGGGTTGTTTTCTCTAGTTCTGTGAAAGTCATTGCAAATTTGTTGGGGATTGCAATGGATCTATAGATCACTTTAGGTATTACAGTTATTTCACAATATTAAATCTACCAATCCGTGAGCATAGGAAGTCTTCCAACCTTCCAGTGTCTTCTTCAATTTCTTCCTTAAGCATTTAAAAATTTTTACTTTAGATTGTTTTCGCCTTCTTGGTTAAGTTTGTTTTAGGTATTTTAATTGTATTTGAAGCTACTGGGATATATGTATTCAAGCAAATGGGATTTTTTTCCCAGCCTCTCTCTCCACTATTGGTGTATGAGAAAGTGTTCTGTGTGTTTGTTTTGTTTGTTTGTTTTAGAGACAAAGTCTCTAAAGCCCCAGTTGGCCTAGAACTATGTAGACCAGGCTGGCCTTACAGATCAAGCAGCCTCAAACTCACAGAGATCCATCTGCATCTGCCTCTTGAGTACTGAGATTAAAAATGTGTGACACCAAGTCCAGCAAAACCACTGATTTTTCTATGTTGGTCTTATTGTCTTTTTAAATTTTTTATTCATTTATTTTATTGCAAGGGTGATGGGGTTTCTGCAAGCATCACAACTAGCAGGGAAACAATCCTCATGAGGTAAAGAATTAAACTCAGGTCAGTATCAGGTTGGCAGGTGCTGGGTCAAAACTTCCAGAGTCTGACCTCAAGGTTTATATTTCTTTCTTTTTTTTCTTTTTTGGTTTTTTTTCAAGACAGGGTTTCTATGTGTAGGTTTGGAACCTATCCTGGCACTCGCTTTGTAGACCAGGCTGGCCTCAAACTCACAGAGATCCACCTGCCTCCGCCTCCAGAGTGCTGGGATTACAGGTGTGTGCCATCAATGCTTGGCTTAGGTTTATATTTCTTACACATTTAAGCACAGTAAAACTTTGGGGGAAAGTATCCACGTGACAATCCTCACAACAAAGTTTCAGGGATGGCTACATCAAAACTCCCTTGCAAAGTACACCTCTCTAGTAAAGCACCTGTGACCTTCACCATAAGGAAGAGTTCTGTTGACAGGGTGAGGATTTATAACAAGCATAAGGATGGAGTCTGTTGTTGAAGAATGCAGTACATCCTTCATAAGGATGGGTTCTACCTACTGAGAGATAAAACTCAGGATTAGGGCCTCAACAATGCTCAGGATTTCAGGGTGATTCAGGAAAAAGCTGGTTATCAAATAGCTAAAGGTCACCAGGTATTAGACAACATCCACTCCAGCCTTCCAGGTTAAAAAGCATCATTCCCTTCCCTTGAAGAAGTTAGGTATTTGTGTCTAACAGCTCTGGTTCCCCTAATGCTTTCTCTAAGCCATGCCTACATATGGGCGTCTTGCCTGGATGCATGTCTATATACCACATGCATGCCTAGAGCCTGCAGAGATCAGGAGATGCCAGATCCCCTGGGACTAGAGTTACAGATGGTGGTGAGTCTCTAAGTGGATGCTGGGAATCAAACCATGGTCCTCTAGAAAAGCAGCCAGGGCTATTTACAGTTGAGCCATCTCTCCAGCCCCTTATGTTGATTTGTATCCTGCTCCATGATAAACAGCTATGATAGCCAGGATAGCTGTTTTCTAACTGGTTATTTTATTGTAAAGTCTAGTAACTATGATGTCTTAGTTAGGGTTTCTATTGCTGTGAAGAGACACCATGACCACAGCAACTCATATAAAGGAAAACATTTAACTGAGGTAGTGGCTGACAGTTTCAGATGTTTAATCTATTATCATCATGGTGGGGAGTGTGGCAGCATCCTTACAGTGACACACTTCCTCCAACAAGGCCACACCTACTCTAACAAAAGCACACCTCCTAATAGCCCCACTCCCTTGGGGCTATTTTCTTTCAAACCGCCACATATGACAAAAGTCAAAATATCCTGCAGTTTTCTAAACTGTCTTTCCTTTGCTCTTCTCATAGGAAAGGAGGCAGGAATCTAAGTGAATGAGTGTATTTGTTACTTTTCTATTGCTGTGATAAGACACCATGACCAAGAAAAGTTATAGAAGGAAGGGTTTATTTGGGGTTTATGGCTCCAGAGGGATAAGAGGTATCACCATCGCAGTGGGGATGTATGGTGACAGGAACAACTGAGCGCTCACATCTCAAACCTCAGGCAGGAGATCAAACTCAAAAACTGTTAAGTCTCGCCCAGTGACACACTTCCTCCAACAAGGCCACACATCCTAATCCTCCCAAAGCAATGCCACCTGCTGCAGATCAAGTATTCAAATGCCTGAACTATGGGGACGTCTCACTCCAACCATCACAAGTAATTGCAAAACCCATTTTAACTGTTTTTTAAATAAGAATATATGAAAGGCCAGGCAATGGTGTCATATGCCTTTAATGCCAGCACTCAGGAGGCAGAGGCAGGAGGATCTCTGAGTTCGAGACCAGCCTGTTCTACAAGAGCTAGTTTCAGGACAGCCTCCAAAGCCACAGAGAAAGCCTGTCTGGAAAAACCAAAAAAA